AGAGCTTGGAGCAACCCATGGTTGGGGGGTGGAAGGTGATGAACTTCAAGGTCCCTTGAAGCCCAAGCCATTCTGTGATTCCATGATTATTCCCTCCTCTTTATTAAACTGCTTAAAATTTGGGTTTGGATGAAAATGGGATCATGGATTCTACCAGTGACAACTCGTCATCACCAAAAGCAGATTGTGCTTTTGGTGCTCTGAGAGCTTTCTTGGGTGCCTGGCAGAGGGATTTGGAGGAGGGGACTGGGGCAAGCTGGCATTGCTCCTGGGGGTCCCCCAGTTCTTGCCAACTCTGAGGTACAGCTGCCTACAGAGCTCTGGGAATGGCACTCTGGCCAGCTGCACACTTGTTACCATTTGGAGGAAACCCGTGGGAATATTTATGGTGTTGGACTTTGATTTGTGAGCTGGGATCATGCCCTGAGCTAGAGATACCAGATTAAAAACAAACCAACCCAGAAGCATGTAGAGTAACAGCTATTTACCCCCTGCTTTGTCTTCCCTTGTCAGGAGTCTGTATCTGTGCTCAACCTCTTCACCAGGATACGATAAACCCCCTCCCTGTGCCCCAGGAACCTACAGCCTGACATTCCAGGATCAGACCACTCCCTTGGTGTGCATGGACCCTCGGAGCCCAGCCAAGGGGAGGGAGAGCTGTGGGACTGGAGGAGGACCCAGCTCATTAAATATGTGCTTGTGAACCACAGGGCTGGGCAGTATTTGGGATGGGGTGGGGAGGGGAGGGAACTGCCAAAGGTTATTGGATTCATCCTTCATAAAGGGAAATGGGTAAAAGAAATGTTAACCCAGCATCGTCCAGCCGTTGGGATGGTACTGGGGAGGACTCGTGTGACATGGACCATTGAGACTGGACTGAGGCCATCCCCACTGCCATGGTGTGCCTCCTGCGAGAGAGGAGCATATTCTTGCTGCTGTGGGAAGGGGTTTGACATGCTGCTGTGTCCTAGAGTGACATCTCTAGGGGCAGGAGCCAGCCAGACTGGTCCGGTACAGCTGGTGCAAGGGGCACAGCTCCAGGCTGGGCATCTAAGGGCTTTGTTCATAGCCTGGCATCCCCATTCCAGGAAGAAACTGGAGAACTGCCTATTTTCCTTTTTTTTTTCTTTATTTTTTCCCCCCAGACAGGTACTGTAGTACTTGACATGATCATTCCATAAGACAGCTTGATTTTTTTTGGCATGCTTGACAGCTGCCTCTGAACAAATACATTTGGGGCTCTAGACTTTGGAGGAGACTTGAAAAAGCTTCACCTCTAAGGGAGCAGGATTGGGAAGTTCTGTAGTTGGCTGTTTCATATTCTGGGCTGATCGTGGGAGTTACCAGAGAGGAGAAATAAGGACTTTATAAAAAAAGAAACCCACCCAACCACCTGTGCATGTGGAGCTTCTTTTGCTGCCACCAGGTGGGGTGCCTTTGCTCTGGAGTCTCCCTGAGGCCAAAAGCAGTTGGGAAGTGTTTGAGAACAGAAGCAAATCCTGAAGTTCTGATTTTTGGGGTGAGCAGGGCCTCTTCTGGCTGGAAGAGGGGTTCTTCTGAAACAGGGCTGCAGTGTTGCTTTTTTATTATCTCCAAGTCCCAGACAGGGACCTGCTGTTGAGTCTTGGTGTGAGGTTTGGGATTTTTAGATTGTGTGGGACAAGAGTTTTGGCTGAGAGTTGGAGCCCATGGAACGTAACACAAATGCTCTGTATGTGTTTGTTGCTTTTAATTTAAGAGAAGCTGTGAGGCTGTGCTGCCTGTTCCATCTGACCCATGCCTGTGCCTACCCTGCCCTCTCCCAGCGTTGCTTCCTGTTCCCATGTGGAATTCCCTGGCTGTATATATAGACTTGTCCTCTCTCTGTAGATTGCATAGGTGATGCTTTCTCTTTCTTTTTTTAATCTGTTGTTTTGTCTTCTCTCCCTTCTTTCCCTAAAACCAGGGGGTAGGAATATGATTGTCTGTCCTCCCCAGTACCCCCAGTATCCTTAGCATGAGCCAAGGTGCGGGAAGGCCAATACAGCCTTGACCATACGTGCCATCACACCAGTGCCTGGATCAGGCTGGTGGTGCTGTGCCTGTGTTGCACTTACTGGGAGTCACTGGTGAGGAGCTGGTGTGCTGGGAGTCCCCTGGCAGTCTCCCAGGCCCACAGGCCACTTTGTCATCTCACAGTCTCACTTGCCACCAAAATGGAATTTCCATGGAGTTTCTGAAACACTGTTTGAGCTCAGCTACCCACTTGTGGGCACTGTTCCACATCACCATGGGTTGGGAGCACCCCAAAGCACCAAGGAGGTGTTAAATTGACTTGCATCATTAACTTGGGGAATGGGTTTGAGGCAAAGGGTCACCTGAAGCAAGAGGTGGTCTGTTGTGGGTGTCATCACCTGGGGGAAGAGCTGTTTAGGGGGGCTGGGGAGAGGCTGGCGGCTGTGCTGTAGATTTTCCTGTTGTGGATTGCCTCCCACTAAATAGCACTGTGCAGACCCCCAGGACACACTAGTTTCTCTTCTGAAGGTGTAAGTGCTTGGACTGGGGGCACACAGGAGGTCTCAGCCCATTCTGGAGCTGGAGGGAACCAGGCACCCAGCTGGAGTGCAGTGATGCCGTGGCTCCCCAGTGCCCTGGGGCTCCAGAGGAGTGGATTTGCCTCTCACCCTGTGATGGGGGAACTTCCTCAAGGAGTCTCAGAAGCTGCTGGGGGGAGTGGCAGTGCCAGGTGGGCACTGCAGCCACTACCCAGTTCTCCCAGCTGCAGAGTAGGGATAGCTCCTCATTGCTCTGTCCCCACCATTGTCCCCTCTTGCTAAGGACTTTTCCAAACTACATTTTGTGTCTACATCTCACTTTTCTGTCTGCTTTGGGAGCAGGTTGGCTTCTCTTATTGCACTTGGCAGGGAGGCTGGTGATTCCCAGGCCAGGACTGTTCTGTGCCCACACATGTAGGTGACAGAGCATGGCAAGAACAGGCTGCTCACCCTGATCTGGCTGTCAAAGCCCACTACAGCCCCACTCCCAGCTGCCAGGCAGGAGCTCCCAGTTGTATCTGTGTGGAGGTGGGTGTGTGCAAGTGTCTCAGGGTGATACTGTCACTGGCTGCTCAAGAGGGAAAAGGGCAGGTCTGAGGTGATGTGTCAGTGTGTGTGACCTGTGGGCACTGGCTCAGGCACAGGGTTCTCCCAGAGCTGGCTGACAGAGTCTGTGGCATCGTTGTATCCCAGGTGTCATGTGATTGAAAACAAAGATGGAGCACGCTGTAACTTTTTCATGTAAAGCAATTGAACTGGCATTAAACAGGTTGTGAATTTATTTGGATTGGTCTCCATGGCTCCGCTTTGATTCTCCACAGTGAAGGGTGCAGCAAGGCCCCAGGGTCCCCACCCCACCTCTGCAGGTACCAACTTTCTTGGCACAGCTCTCACCTGAGGTTTATTGCTCCCTGTTTGCTTTCCTGCTGCTGGCAAAGGGCACAGCCCCGCCCCTTCCCTGCCCTGTACCCCTCAGCATGGCAGGAAGGAGGAAAAGGGGCCTCTGGCCTGGCACAGCCCCTCCTTGGGCAGGGAATGGCTGCTGTGGGACCCCTCTGTCCTGCAGGCCCTCGAGTCAGGAGTCCTGCTGTCCCAATGCAGGTGGGACCCTCACATGGGGCGGCATCTCCTCCCTGGCATTGTAGCCCTGTGGACAGGGGACACCTCTCCAGTGGGGTACAACCCTGGGCCCCCACACCTGTGCATTTTTCCAGCCTTCAGGAGAGACATGAAACCCTGGCAGCTCCCTCCCCCCAGTGACTGGTGTCTTATGCTGTGCGGACCAGGCCTGCTGCTAGAAGACCCCCTGGGCTGGGTGGTGTGGGGCAGAGCTGATCCATGGGGCTGAGCAGCAGGATGAGAAGGGGGAGGATCCTGACCTTGGCATCACCCACTGCTGCTGCCCAGACACAGAGCTGAGCTGTGGGTTTGGGGAAGGAATGGCCAAGAAATGGCAAAGAGAAAGGAGCTGTCAGTGCCTGAGTTTCCCCACCTTGGAGCTTGGGAGAAGTCCCAGGGCCCCTTAACTGGTCCAGAGTGGGATTAAGCTCCAGGGCTTTGGGCTGGGTGGATCCTTCTCTGGGGTGCAGGTTCTGCTGTGCCCCCAGCTCTGCTCCCACCCCCAGCTTATGCTCAGAACCTGTGGGAACCCATTATCCCCACCATGTACCTGTGACCCTGCACCTGCTGGAACCCCTTCCTCTGGCAGGTGAGCCCCATCCTAGGGAAGGAGCAGGGTAAGAGCCAGGGCCTGGCCAGCTGCAGGGCCCTGGGGCTCCCTGATGCGCCCTCACCACCCCCTTCCCCTGTCTCCCATTGTCACCAGCAGCCAGCGCTCCAGGGGACCTCTCAGGGTCTTCTGCTGCTCCCTGGACCCCTGGGACATCAGCACCTGGAGCTGCCTACCCACAGCAGTCAAAGCCCCTGATCCTGCTGTGTCCTGGTCTGTTCTGGAGAGTAGGGGGTGTGTGATGGGGGACTGGTTTATGTTCGTCCTGTGGCATCTGGCCCAGCAAATAATAAGTATTAATATAATACAGATTTTATTAATCTTTACTAATAGAATCTGTTCTTTGTGCCCCTGCCTTGCCTGGGGCTTGGCCCCCTCTGCCTGCCCTGCCTCAGGGCTGGGTGGGGGTTGGTGCTGACTCCAGCCCCCCTTCCCTGCTCTGTGTCCCACAGGGAGCTCCCTGGGTCTCTTCTGCTGCTGCTCAGGGTGGGCAGACAGTGGGGAGAGAGATGGAGCCTCACAGCCCATTTGGGCTTCTCAGGCATTGTGGGGGGCTGCAAGGCACTTGGTGACAGAGCCACCCCTGAGAGGCCAAGGAAGGGCTCAGAGAGGCCCTGACCCCCCAACTGGAGCTCTGGTGATGGTCCTTGGTGGCCTCACGTTTGTCTTGTACCTGAGGGCAGGCAGGGTGAGGAGGAGTCTCTGATGGGGACAGAGGCCACCCCATGCCCCTCCACTCACTGCTGTGACAGGTTGAGATGTGGCCAAGCCCCCACGAACGCCAGCTGCTGCTCCAGCTCCGCAATGCGCAGACCGATGTACCCCGAGGACAGCAGCAAGGCCACCATGCTGAGAACAGGCCAGTGTCAGCCAGGGGGCACAGGGTGGTGACGTGGGGCAGGAGCAGTGCCACGGCCAGGCTCCATGTGCTCGCCCTGGGGATGGGTGTCCAAGGGGAAATGCGGGAACCCCGGCCTGCCAGTGCCACCCTGGAGAGGCTGCTGGGGCTCAGTAGGGATGGGGAGTGGGAGTGTGAGCAGGTCCTGGAGACTCACAGCAGCAGGTAGATGATGATGATGATGTTGAGAGGGCTCCACTGGGGGTTTATCCGGGACCAAAGTGCAGTAGCCCAGGCCTGGAGCACGGTGTAAGGTCCCCCTGCCAGGACAGGCAGTGACACTGGCATAAGAGTCCGTGCTCAGCTCTGCCAGGGTGTAAAAAATCCCCCCATCCCAAGCCCCCTGACGCACCCCAGAGGCCACAGGACTCTGCTGAGGGCACCCATTCGCTGCTGCTGGGAACTAGTAGGGCCACCCCATCATCCTCGTCCTCTGCTTGCCTTGATCTTGGGTTTGGCTCATCTGCAGGTGACCAGGAGACAATCGATGAATGCCTTAGGGAGAGGTCTAGGTGTCCCAGGGGCACACGGGGCCACAAAGAGCTGATCCTGCACTCCCTGGAGCTGTGGGAGATGCTGCTCGGGGACGGGGAGGGTGAGGGCAGCGAGGTCACTCCCAGGCCCTGTGTGTCTGGGGAGGAGGAGCAGAGCCCAGAGCTGCCAGAGCAGGGCTGTGAGCATGCATGGGGTGCACCAGGCTGGCCGCTCACCCAGGGATTCGTGGAGGCTGTTTGGCTCCGGGGTGCTCTGCTCCAGGTCTGAAAAGCTCGAGATCTGGAAGAGGACAAGCCCCAGTCATGATGTGTGTCTCCAAAGGCACCTACCTGCCCCACTGCCATGCAGACATGGGCAGGACCTGATGGGACTTGTGTCACCCACAGGAACAGAGGGTCCTGGGGCTGGGGCTTTTCATTTCCCCACCACGTCTTCCCAGGAGCCATTACAGCCAGCCCACCTCATCCAGGAGGCTGGGACTGCCCCTCCTCCTGCTGTTCACTCCTGCCCTCCCTTCCCTGGCCTTACTTGAGACTTCCTAAGAGTTTCCTCATTGTTCACTGAGTTTCGAGGGCTCTGGCCGCTGTCCTGGACAAGGAGAGATGAAGGGAGGTGCCCTGCAATTGATGGATGGAGCCCCCCCTCCCCATCCAGGCCCCGCGTACCTGCAGGTGTTTGCAGACTGACCTCAGGAGCTGGTACGTGGCCTCTCGCTGGCGCAGCGACACAAAGAGGAACTGCGGGGGAGTGAGAAGGGGATTTGTGCCAGACCTACCCCCTCAGTGGCAGCCCAGAGCCCACAGGGACCAGGACACTCTAAATGACACTCCAGGTGAGGCTGCCCGCCAGCACTGTCCCTGCTCTCACCTTCTCCCCCTTTGCCGTGCGGATGCTGACTGCGTTAGGCACCAGCAACGCCGTGTTGGTCTTTTTGATGGCTGAGACGGAGTCAACAGGGACGATGGCCTGTGCCAGGGGGAACAGGCTGTGTCACCGTGTTCCCGGCTGCCACCTGTGCCTGTTCTGCTGGCCCCACGCCCACTCCAGCCCACCTTGATGTCCTTGAGCAGGAGATTGGAGTGGAAGCAGATGTGGCGGGAGGACACGTAGAGGCGACCGTGGTAGGGCACCTCTCTCTGCCAGGCACACGAGAAGCAGCCCAGCAGCACGTCCTGCTCGGCGAGCTCCCCGAAGGCTCGGCGGTAGCTGCTGTCCTGCTTGCTCAGCTGCGGGAGGTCGGGGGGCTGATGCTCTGGGCTAGCCCTGGCACCGCGGGCATCCTGCAGCCCCTTGTTCCATTATCGCGTCTGCCACGGGACCGGGACGGAGCCCTCCCTCGGCCCCCGCCCCAAGAGAGCACCCAGCCGAGACCCTGGGGCTGGGACTGGCGTTGGGGTTCTGCTCCTCCGCAGACCCCAAGACTCACCGAGGGGGATGGGGGTCCCTGCGTGCCCGTGGCTGCCTGCTCTGTCTCCTTGCAAGAGGACTCATAGGTCCTGGATCTGGAAGGAGGCATCGGAGGGCGTGACTCGAGGGGCACAGGTGCGATGTGGGGCTGGGGTGCGGGATGCGTCACCGTGAGGTGCAGCACCCACCTGGTGAGCTTGGGCTGCCCCAGATGGGCACTTCCCCTCTCCTCCAGGCTCTGCCACTGCTTCTTCCCCAGCACCTCCCGCCTGCTGCGTCTCAGTTTCCCCGGCATGAGGGATAAGTCCGAGAGCTCGGGGAGAGGAGGCAGGTTGTGCGGATGGTCTATTCCTGCAGCACAGCAGATCCCAGTGTCACCAACCTGTCCCTCCACCGGGGCGGACACGGGGGACGGGGCTCAGGCCACGCCGGGACCGGGATAGCAGAGCTCACCCGGTCGCATGACCCCTTTGCCTGTCCCATGGTATCGTGCTGGCTGCGAACCCCTGGGCAGCGGGGCCTGGGGTGACGGGGGAAGTAGTGACCCCTGTACAGGCGGGTGACGGGGAAAGTTATCCCTGGGTCGGGGGTGCCGGCGCTGGGTGCGGGAGTGCGTGGCCGGTCTGGCTCCAGAGGGGACGGGAAGGCGGCTGCGGTCCCGAACCCACGCGCGGCCCCAGAACCCCGTCCCGGGCAGGCCCCGCGCGGTACCTGCTGGGGGGCACAGCCGGGGTCCCCCCGTCCCGTCGGACCTGTCCCGCTCCCACTCCTTCCAGCGCCGTTCCTGCTCCGCTGCTATCTCCGCCTCCCTCCTCCTCCTCCTCCCGAGGAAGGGCAGCGGGCGGAGCCGGGCGGCCGCGGCAGGTTCGCAGGGAGCGGCCGGGGCAGCCCCATCCCGGGACACCCCGAGGCTGCGCGGGGTGAGCCCCAGCCCGGCCCCCGGGGAATGCGGGACCAAGCAGCTGCCAGTGCGCTCCAGTCCCAGCAGCGCTGAGAACCAGAGCGGTACAGCCACAGTCCCGCGGAACTCTGCGATCCCGTGGCATTTTGCAGTTCTACGGGCACGCCGCAGTCCATGGGCACTCCGCAACCCGGGACACCGCACGGCATCGTCTGCCCGGTGCCCGCTCCCCTGCCTTCTGCGCTGGCTCCCAGCGCCAGGCGCGTCCGTCCAGGGCTGGGGGCACGTCCGCCCCTCGTCCCGGGGGTTTCTGTCGTGGGACAGGGAACCTCAGGAGGAAGCGGGGAGGGGGCGCGGCCGGGCCGGGGGCACTGGGCAGAGCCGAGACCGCGCCCCCCCACGGCCTCTGGGGCAGGTTCGAAGGCCACGGACCCAGCCCGGTTCAGCCCCTGCTCTCTGGACCGGGGCTGATAATGCCCCTCCCGCAGCGGGGAACGGCCATAAACCCGGGCCGGCCCGAGGTGGGACACGGCGCGACCTGAGGGGGCTGCACCCTACACACCCACCCACTCAGGCTCCCAGTCCATCTGCCTGGATCCCGTTCCATTCCCCCACACCAAGCACACTCGGGGCGTCACTCCCTGCCCTTGGCCACACCCTGTCACACCCCCAGCCCCCCCAACCCCCTCACCCCACACTCGTGTCCTGCTGTGCACACACGACCCCACAGCTCTCATGGCAGGGGCTCCATGCCAGCCCATCCAGGCTGCACACACGGACCTGTGAGCAGGCACAGGGCATGGACAGGGGGGGTCATGGAGAACCTCTGCCATGGATCCAGGCTGGGAGGGCTGGGGGTGCTCACCTGGAGAAGAGAAGGCTCCAGGGAGAGCTCAGAGCCCCTTGCAGGGCCTAAAGGGGCTCCAGGAGAGCTGGAGAGGGACTGGGGACAAGGCCTGGAGGGACAGGACACAGGGAATGGCTCCCACTGCCAGAGGGCAGGGCTGGATGGGATATTGGGCAGGAATTGTTGGCTGGGAGGGTGGGCAGGCCCTGGCACAGGGTGCCCAGAGCAGCTGTGGTTCTCCCTGGATCCCTGGAAATGCCCAAGGCCAGGCTGGACAGGGCTTGGAGCAGCCTGGGACAGTGGAAGGTGTCCCTGCCCATGGCAGGGGTGGCACTGGATGAGCTTTGAGGTCCCTCCCAACCCAAACCACTCCATGGGTTATGCACACACCCCCCAGCCCCTCCCGCGTGCACCTTGTGTGCACACAGCGCATCCCTGCACGCACGGCTGGGCACACACAGGTATGGACACACAAACATGATCACGTACGTGTGATCTATGGACACATACGTGTTCACACACACATGGACACACACAGAGCACACACACAAGTTCTCACACACCACAGACATCAAACACACACACGTTCCCACACAAAGGCATCATACACATGTACACACACACACACACACATAGGGTCACACAGTCACACACTCTCATAGTCACACACACTCAGGGTTACACTCACACACACACAGGTCACACTTTCAAAGGGTCACACACGCCCTCACAGGGTTACACTCACACACACACACACATAGGGTCACACTCTCAATCACACTCTCACAGTCACACACACACACAGGGTCACACTGTCACAGTCACACACAGTCACACACACACACACAGGGTCACACTCAATCACAGACACACATAGGCTCACACTCACAATCTCACACACACAGGTCACACACAGTCACACACACACACACACAAACACACAGGTCACCCACTCACAATCACACACACAGGCTCACACACCATCACACACACACACACTCACAATCACACACACACACACAGGGTCATGCACACACACACAGGCTCACTCACAATCACACTCTCACACGCACAGGCTCACACTCACAATCACAGACACACACACACACAGGGGGTCACACTGTCACAGTCACAGACACACACACACACACACACACACACACACAGGCTCACTCACAATCACACTCACACACACGCACAGGCTCACACAGTCACACACACACACAGGGTCACACTGTCACAGTCACACTCTGTCCCCGCCCCCCGCACGCAAGGCGCGCTCCCATTGGCTGTCCGGTCCCGGGGGCGGGGCTCCGCGCACGGACCAATCACGTGTCTCCAGCTCCCCCATTTCGTGTGCGGCCGCTGAGGGCGGCTGTTCCCGCCCCCGGCCCTCAGGACTCCCCTCTCCGAGAGACCCCACACCGCCGTGCCGAGCCCACCCCCATCGCAGGGCCATCAGCGCTGCGGCTGGCTTTTTTCCTCTCCTTTTTCTCCTCCTTTATAAAGTGCCCTTTGTACGTATTGACCTTACAAAAGCAGATTAAAACCTCGGGCCGGGTGCCCCATCATCTTCTAGGGCTGCCCCGGCCTGGCAATGTTCATTGTGCAGGTGAGAGGTGACAGGTGACCCTGCACCGGTGACACTGCACCAAAGACAGCCTTCATCAGCCCGGTGGGGTCTGGGACACGAGAGTCCAGGATGGGAACATGAGTCCAGGGTTCATGGGAATACAAGTTAGTGGGAATATGAGTCCAGTGCAAGGAGACAGGGTGGGGGTCACCCCCCTCCCCAGAGCCCAGTGGCCCCCAGTGCAGGGGACCCTCCAGACTCAGAGTGTGGCACCGTAGTGGCCAAGGACACAGTGGCTGAGGACACAGCCCTGAGGACATGGTGGCCAGGGACACAGCCCTGAGGACATGGTGGCCAGGGACACAGGCCCGCTCAGTTGATGGCGCTGCTCTGGCTCTCTCCCTCAGCGCTCCCAGTGCCACTTTCAGGGGTCCTAGCACAGCTCAGCCCCTGCAGGCTGACAGCACCTGGAGGAAGAGGAGGAAGGGACAGGTCAGGAGAGATGGCAGTGTGGGGTGACCCACATGTGCTGGCCTGGCCCTCCTGGACTCTTCTGCTAGTACCAGGGGCCTGATGCAACAGGGCCTCAAGCAACATGAGGGGTCTGTCCTGTTCCCCCACCCCACAGCAAGCACTGGCACCCAGGGAAGCAGAAAAGGCACTGAGCAGGGGTGTTGTCTCCTCAGGCTGACAAAGGTCACCCCACCATCCCCCACGTTTGCTGCCAGCACATGGAGCTGCCCCTGACACCCCCTGAAGCCCCAGTGCCAGTGTGGCCGAGACCAGGCCAGGGGGCTGTTGCCCCCCAGAAGGGCACAGCAAGCAGACACAGCCCCTCTCTGGGGGAAGCAGCGGGAGCGGGACAATGGCCCTGCCCCGTGCCCTACCATGACGGTTCCCCTGCAAATGTAGCCACAGCCAGCCCAGTGATGAAAGGGCTCCCACTGCTGCTGCACTGGGGCCATCTGCAAAGACACTGCAGCTTTAGCCCGGGCTGGCACTGACCTGTACCCAGCTCCACACTGGGCTGCCCCCAAGCCCTCAGCCCCACTCACGGTAGCGGATCCGGATGGGCCACACCATGATGCAGCACAGCACGGTGACAGCAGCAATGGCGATGCCGCCAGTGACCAGCACCATCACCCAGCGGTAGAAGTCGACACAGGCAGGGCAGCACAGCTCAGTCCTGTGAGGACAGGCAGGGAAGTGGTTGGAGGCCGGGACCGGAGTCCCAGGCTATGGGCAGTTGTCCCATGTCCCCACATCAGAGTCAGGACTGATTCCCACTGGGATGCGAGGGAAAGGCCCAGGGCAAGGATATCCCCAGGGCTTGGGCCCTTGTCCAAGGCCAGGAGAGAAGGTGAAGAGAGGTTTAAGACAAATCAGAGCCAGACAAGAACAGGCTCCAGGGAGACCTTACAGCCCCTTCCAGGGCGTCAAGAGGCTCCAGGAGAGCTAGAAAGAGACTTTGGACAAGGGCCTGGAGGGACAGGACAAGGGGGAATGACTTCCCACTGCCAGAGGACAGGGTTAGATGAGATATTGGGAAGGAATTCTTCCGTGTGAGGGTGGTGAGGCCCTGGCACAGGGTTCCCAGAGTAGCTGTGGCTGCCCCATCCCTCGAAGTCTTTCAGTCCAGGCTGGACAAGGCTTGGAGCAACCTGGTGTAGTGGAAAGTGTCCCTGCCCATGGCATGGAGTGGAAGGAGATGAGCTTTAAGGTCCCTTCCCATTCAAACCATTCTGGGATTCTATAAATCTGAGCTGCTTCCCTCCCATGACTCTTGCTCCAACCCTGGAATATTTCCTCGTGGCCCCCAAGCAATAGAGGTCCCAGGTTTGCAGCGACACTTACGGGCAGGGGTGCAGGTTCTGGATCACCATCACAGCCAGGCCATTGGCCATCTTGTCCGTGAAGCTCATGGCACCGTAGACAAATGCGCTGCTGTGCTGAGGGAGGAGAGGGAACCATGCTGGGCTATGCTGGGCCACACAGCCCTGTGTGTCCTCTCATGGGCAGAGCCCTCACTGCAGCAGAGCAGCAGAGCATGGGGCACAGCACTCACAGGGCACAGCACACAGGGGCTGCCCAGCAGAGCTCCCTCCCCAGCATCTTCATCCCCTAATCCTAACCAGTGCCCACCCCAGACTACAGGTTCTGTGCCTGCTGTGACCCCCCATTCCATCCCACCAGGAGCAGCGGCCATACCGTGTTAGTGCCGATGAGATCTGCAGTCATAGACAGGGAGGTGACCAGGATGGTGGCCGAGCCGGCCCCGAGCAGCACTGCCAGCACGTAGATCTCATCTCCTATCGGCCTGGCCAGGGTCACCCATGAGGCAAAGGCCAGGACCACCAGGATGCCCACAAAGTAAGTCAGCTGTGATGGGGATGGGCAGAGGGAGAAGGGGGAGTTCAGACATCAGCTGGCACTCATGGGGAGGGAGGAGCAAGCAGGGAGGGCATGGGGCCAGCATTGCCCAGGACCCATGAGGGACAGCCCTGGCTCTGTCCCAGCTGTATTTAAACAAGGAGACTCCAAAAGTAGGTCCTTGCTGTACTCAAGGCTGTTCTGCAGCCCAAGGGTTGTGCCCTGGGCAGTTGGGAGAGCGTGTCTGTGAGGTTAGGGGACACTCCACTGGCACCCAACAGCACACAGGGGCAGGTTCCTGCTGCTGGCATTGCAGACCGTATGCCCACTCAGGCAAGTGTAGCCAGACCCCTCCTCTGCCCCGATGGGCACCACAGGGCTCTACAGCCCAGTCAGGCCTGCATGGGACATGGTAACTCTAGGCCAGCATTGCCTTCCCCAGCCCCAGGGATGTACAAGACAGGCTCCTGCCTCCATCCCTGCCCACCATCCCCAGACCTAGTAGGACCCAGATCCCCATCCCTGTCCACCACTCCCAGTCCCAGCAGGACCCATGCTGCAGTGGGTGGTTGCTGGCAGAGGAACCATAAGGGGTCCCGGCTCTCCAGCTCAGGTGTGCCAGGAACTTTTCTCACAGCCAGGATTTGGCCCCTGGGCCTCTCCTGGGGTCAAACTCCAACCTCTCCAGCACCCTGGACTTACGTTCCGACCAATCCATTTGTTCACAGGCTTCATGAGGAATGAGGAGAGGAACCCGCTGACATACATCACTAGGGGAATGGTGGCAATGTACTTCTGCAAGTGACAAGGACAGGGAGGAAATGAGCCCCAGACCACATCAGGACACCTTCTCATGTGCCCCTGGATCTGCCCTGTGCCCACCTTGGAGAGCAGCAGTGAGTTGGTCAGGTACATGGCGATGTAGGTCTGGGACAGGTTGACGATGAGGCGGGTGGCCATGTAGAGCACTGCAACCTGGGAGGGGATACAGCCAGGGCATCAGTGCTCAGCCTGTGGGAAGGACCTTCTCTGCCCAGCTATCAGGGCACAGGTGCCTAGCGGGAAGGGCGTGATCCCTCTGAGGTGGTGGATGGGTACCCAGAACAGCCCCTCTCTCCATCCCCACCCGCACCTGGACAGGTCCCATGGCTGCAGGACACCCAGGGTGCCCAGGCAGGGCAGCAGCCCAGGCCAAGGGAGTCCTGCCCAGCTGTACCTGGTAGAAGGAGGGCTCCAGCAGCCAGTCCTTCCAGTGCAGCAGTGGGCGCGGGGGGCCCGAGGGCTCCTTGTGCAGCAGCAGGGTGCTCTCCTCTGGCTCGGGCAGCACCCCTGGTGGGTACGGCTTCTCCTTGGTGCCCAGGTGGAAGATAAGGGAGAACACGGCCCCGAGCCCCACCACGATGAGGGCCAAGTTCTGGTGAGGTAGTGGGTGTGAGCACAGCAGTGGGGCAGCCCACCATCACCCCCCACTAGTCTGGAGGGTAAGGAGGGGTGCCCAAACCCCAGGGAGGGCTCCGTGTGGCTCTTACCCAGTTGGTGAGGTTTTAGGGCATTGCCTTCTGACTCCCCTCCAGCACCTCCCCAGTTGAGTCATGGGAAGAGGGAACCCCAGGGACTGTGCCTTGCCACTCACCCGAAACACAGGGATGTCCTGTGGGCCCAGGTGCTCCATGTGGTCGGGCTTGTCCGTCTGGAAGTTCAGCAGGAGCCAGGTCAGGCCGTACACAGTGATGTTGGCCATGACGGTGAAGGCATACCTGAGCGGAAAGAAACCTTGGGGCGATGCAGAGGGACAAGCATGGGGACAGAACAACAGGACACCTCTGCCCACGGCTGCCCCCCAAGCCAGATGTGCTACAGCTTCTGCACCCCATGTCATGGCTGAGGCAACACCTCTGAGGGCACAAGGCATCTGGCCAAGCAGCCTTACTGCTGCAACTCCCAGTGTGCCCAGCCCAAGCCTCTGGGCATGACTGAGAAGAAACCACGATTCCTACAGGTCAGTTGGCTCCCCCTCCAGGCACAGCTCACCTCTGCTTCAAGGATGCCATGAACTGTCTGACCCAGTGTCCCCAGAGTGGGACCACTTGGACCCACGGTTACCCCACATCCTCCTTGTTCACCCTGCTCCATAGGATAAATATCCCATCCCACATCCCAATCCTGACAGAGATGAGTCGAGTGCACTGCCCACCTGGCCCTGGAGACATCTCACCTCCACAGCACTCCTCAGAGCTGTGTCCAGCTCTCCTTGAGGGCATCTGGGAGGAACAGCCCGTCCCCTAAATGCCACCATCAATTCCCAAAGCAGAGGTGTCTCCAGCTCAGGAAGTGTCCCACGGGGTGTGGGATGTCACTGACATCCCTGGCATCAAGACATTCCCTCCTGGCAGCAAAGGCTTTGAGTCACCAACCCAGGACCAGCACCAACCTTTGGCACATCCCACAGGACACCCACATGGCCCAGTCCCTGTGCTGCCATGCCGAGGTCTCTGGTGTGCCACAGCACCCAGGGGCCTCCTGTCACACAGTGATGGGACCCAGCATGGGCAGGGCAGCTCCCCGAGCCCCAGGGGACCCCAGGTGTGGCTGTGCTCACCTGAAAGCCGTGAGCTCCACCTTCCCATGGTCACTGCTCACCAGCTCGGGGATGAGGGCCAGGTGGGACACCTGCGTGGCTGCCCAGCCAAACTGGAAGATGACGATGAAGGGGAGGTAGTAGATGAAGGCTGCCCACTGTGGAGTGCTCTCCCTGCAGGCCAGGCAGGGGCTGAAGACAAAGGGAAAGGACACAAGGACACAGGTGGTGCCTGGGGAGAGAGTGGAGCAGTGAGAGGCTGCACACCTGGCTGGGACTCCAATGTGACACAGACAGCCCTCTCTGACACAGGTTCTACCCCAGAACTGGGGAGGGAGGTGGGCCCCTTCCCCAGCCAGATGAGACACGTGGAGCTCCAGACTCCCTCAGCCCATCCTGCACAGGGAATGTCCTTCCCTCTGGTACCCAGCACAAACACCCCCCAGTCAAGGTCCTTTCCCAGCACAGCACTGGCACTGTTCTGTCCCCTCAAGACATCATGACAGACCCTCAATGTCACACCCACCAACACCAAGAGGTTCTTACTGTCCCCAGGTGCAGACAACCAGTCAGATAACCCCTCCCTGCTGCCTGCCTGTGGTGATACAGCACCCCTAGGGAGGGCTCTGGCTGTCCCACAGGCACTGTCACCCCATCTGTTTCCATCTCCCCTTTCCCATGAGGCTGGCAGAGTGGGGCTGGCAGAGAGAGCCATGCTTCTGCCACACTCACAGACATCACCCACAGCATGACAGGGTGACACAGAGCCATGGGGGGCTCTGGGAAGGCCCCGCTGAGTCAGGAACACCAGAGCCAGGCTCCTCCCTCTGCTGTGGCAGGACAGCACAGGGACAAAGCTTGGGGACGCTGCGTGTAGGGACCCTGCGTGGGGCACAGGCCAGCCTGGCCCCTCCCTCCCCTTTCCCAAAGTTACAGAGTCTCTCTGCCAAGCGGCTCCACAGACCCCCAGGCCCCGACACAGAGTCTGTTGCCCAGTCCCCCATGTCCCCCTGTACTGTCCTACATGTCCCCAGCTTCACTGCGTGCTGATGAAGAGCTGTTCCTACAGCTGAGGGGAACCTGCTTTGCCAGATCCCCAAGGTACCCTCTTCACTTTGCAAGAACCTCTCCTCATGAGTGATTCCTCCTCCTCCCACCCATGAAGGGGAATTCCTTCTCCTCCTTGCTCCCACAGAGCACAGCCATGCAGGCCAGAGCAAAGCCAAAGGCAGCAGTGACAAGTCCAGCCCAGCCCCACCCATCCCATCAAAGGGTGCTGGGTTCCCACACTGGCTCACAGTTGGCTTTGGTGCTCAAGGTGGTCCTCTGAAGGACAGGGGACTCAAGCATGTGGTGCCTGTGCCCCAAACCACAGGCACGGGAAGGTCCACAAAGGCTCAAACCAGCCTAGAGTCTCTCTGTTCCCTGGGTTTTAACTGGGACCAGATGAGAGGTGAGGGTCCCAGGGCCCCACAGGGTCAGGCTCTGCAACCCTGTGAAGGCTGAGGGTTCCCAGGGGAACACTGGAGCAGGAGCTGTGGGGACCTGGCTGCTGCAGCCTCCAGGGCTGCTCCTGTGCCCACCCATGAGCCATCGCCACCAGCATAACCACAGGAGTGTCACCTCCTCCTTGTGTCCCCCTGGGACAGGCAGTGTCTACCACCAGGGTCACCCCACTGACTACCCCAAGTGCCCAGGAGTGGCTGCACTAAGTCAGAGAGGTCCTGGGGGCCCCCTGCTCTCCCAAGTGGGGCCATGGGAGCCCCTCCAAGACCATTCTGCCCACCCTGGGCAGGCAAAGGCCCAGCTTCTCATCTCTGGCCCTGCTGGCCAGGAGCACGAAAATGTCAGGCTGCTCGGCAGAGACACGTGGGGCAGGGACTTTGGGACAGCACTGCCAAAGAGGCTGAGACAGGCATCAAAGAGACATTTAACCTTCCTCCCCACTGCATCAGGAAGCTGGACCCCAGAAAAGAGCTGGCTAGCAGGCAGGGACATCAGAACTGCCTGTGGGAAGAACTGGGACCGCGGCCGCGGTGGGAAGATGCCACTGATAGCAACTCGTGGTGTCTCCCCCGCCCCGAGGCTGCGGTTTCAGTTTCCTCTGATGTGAGCACGGGTTTGCCACGGGAGGAGACACCCCGCTCCCACACAACACCCCTCGCTGCAGTGTGATTGAGGAAGCCGAGTGGCCCCGGCACAGCCAGCTCCGGTGGGTTTGCCACCATCACCGGTCACTCTGTGGTCAGCCAAGATGGGCGCTGGGAAAGCCCCTGCCTTGGGAATAACCCACGCTCCAGCCTGGAAAACAGCCTGCATCCCTGTCCCAGCCTGCCCTGAGCTCTGCTCCCTGCACCCTGCAGCCCCCATGCAAGGCCTGAGTTAGGACTTCCCTTCTACGCTCAGGGGGCAGCACTCAGCTGGAGCAGGGGGAGGAAACAGCTCCGGCCGCTTCTCTAAATCTAGGTCACCGATGCAGCTGACACTGGGTCAGGGGTGACACTGGTGCCCTTCAGCACTCTCCCCGACTCACCAAGCCGAGCTCCACAAGGTTAGACGTCTTATCAGCTGCCGTTGGGTTGCAAGAAGCAGTTGGTCGAGATAAATTTGGGATCAAGATAAGAGGACCCACACTGCAACCGTCCTCCCTCCACACAGATCTGCTCTGAGTGAGGCAGTGCCCGGTTGTTACCGAGGGTTGTTATCAGGGGCCATTTCTTCCACCAACTGCCCCGTCCCCAGTGCCAGCTAAGCAAGATGTGCAGGCTCCTGCACCAGTCACAGCACCAAGGATGCCTCTTCAGACCATGCTGTCCCTTCAGAGAGGGACCAAGGACTCCTCTCCTACCACACTGCTCTCCACATCACACTGTCCCCTCACAGAAAGACCAAGGACCCCTCTCTATGCCACACTGTCCCCTCAGAGAGGGACCTCAATAGATGGGTCCCCACCAATCCCTGCACTCTGCTGCATTTTTTGACCCAGGGCACAATGCAAGACAAACCTGTCAATAATTCATGTGCTGTACCTCACTGCTGGCCCCTGGGATGCACAGCCCCAGCACAGCCAAAGGCCCATGCCATAGGCTTCCCCCCTGGGGACACCAAGAGCTGCTCAGGAAGCACCTGGGCTTTTGGGAAAGCCCCGCTTTTACGGCTGGCCTTGGTTTTGCTGCAGCTCCAAGGTTTGAGTATGAGGCTCTAACCCTAACCCTAACCCCAGCCACACACACAAAGCCCGAGGGACAGCAGGGAGCCCCCTGGGGTGGGATGGTGCCCCTTCCCCATCCAGACTCAGCATCCTGCCATCCTCTACACATGGAGCAGCTCTGTCCCCACCTCGCTGCCACAGAAGATGCTAGAAAGGCATCTCACAGACTATCCCCTCCTCACAAGGCACCCCAGACCCATCTCCTGTCACCCAGGGCACTGCCAACAAACGAGAGCCCCTTCACCCTCCACAGAGCACCCCAAAAGCCCCCAGGGCAGCATCCCCTTCCATGGAGGAGCTGCTCCCTTCCACTCCAGGGCACTCAATTCCACTCAGCCCTGGGGCTGCTCCTCTCCAGCTGGGGGTACCCTGTCCCCACCTCACTGCCACATAATGGTCCCCCTCCCCAGAAAGGCTCCCACATTTTCAGGGAGACCTCCATGCTACAAGGCACCCTGCTTCCTCCCCACTCCAGGGAATCCCCAAGGCTGATCCTCCAACCCAGAAAGGCACCCTTGGTCTTGTTGCCCCTCTTCCAGGGCACCCCAGAAAGGTACCCTGGGGCCGATCCTGTACCAGGATTCCCAGAGAGGCTCCTCCAAGGCCACCCATGTCCACAAAGGGCCCCCCAGCAGAGTGTCCCCCATCCATGCCCCGCCAGCAGAGCTGCTTGGGGCCAACTCCCTCCACCCAGCATCCCCCACTGTCCCAACCCTAGTCATCCTAGAAAGGTTCACCCAGGGTCATCCCTTTCTTCTTAGGGCATGCCAGAAAGGTTCCCCTGGCTAGCCCCCACTCAGGACATCTCAGAAAAGCTCCTTGGGGCCACCTTTCTCCCTTCTGGGCACCCCAGAAGGGTGTCTGCCACCCCTGTCATCCCAGAAAAGCTCCTCCAGGGTCACTCACATTCACACGTCACCCTCAGTCCACTCCCTCAGGGCACCCCAGAAAGGCCCCCCTAGAGCCATCCTCTCCACTCAGAGCACCCCACAGCCCTCACAGCCCTACTCCTCCCCTCTCCTCTCCTCCCCTAACCGAAGTCCCTTGGGGTTACCCCTCTCTTATCTTTGGCACCCCAGCAGCGTGTCCCACCCATGACACCCCAGAAAGGCTCCCCATAGCTATTCATCTCCATCCAGGCCACTGCAGAAAGGCTACCCTGGGGCCACCCATTTTCACCCAAGACACCTTGGATAGGTACCCTTGGGCCACCCCCTTCCAGGCAACCCAAAAAGTTTCCCCCACATGTCTTTCAACACAGAACAACACAGTAGGGTTCCCTGGGACCATGCCTCTCCATTTAGAGCACCCTAGAAAGGCTCTGGATGTCTCCTCACAGACAGCCCGGAAAGTCTCCCCCCGGACCATACCTGTTCACTTAGAGCATCCCGGAAAGGTTCTGATGGTTGTTCCCCAACACAGACACACGGAAAAGCTCCGCCGGGGTCATCCTTCTCTACTTAGAGTACTCCAGCAAAGTTTCCCCCTCAGATGATGCCCACTCAGGACACCCCAGAAAGGCTCCCCTGGGGCCATCCCTCTTCCCATGGAGCATCTCAGAAAGGCTCCCCCGGGTGTCCCCCACCCAAAGCACCTCAGCAAGGCCTCCCAGGGTCACCGCTCTCCACTCCGGGCACCCCAGAAAGGCTCTGCCGGGGTCAGCCCTCTCCACCCAGATCCCTCTGTCCGAGCTCCCTGTCCCCCGTACCCCCATGCGGGTGTCCCCGCTCCCTCCGCTCCCCCGCACCCACCGGCCAGGTGCCAGCCCTTCCTGCGCCCGCAGCGGCCGCAGCCGTGGGCCCGGTCGGCCTCGAAGCCGAGCAGGGGCGTGCAGAGCCCGTCGGCCGCCTGCCCGGCCAGGAGCAGCCCGCCGGCCGCGCCGTGCCCGTAGCCCAGCACGGCGTGCAGGAAGGGCAGCAGGTAGGTGAACCACAGCGCCGAGCACGCGTCGTTCAGGAAGTGCCCGCACGCGAAGCTGAGCCGCGCCCGCAGCGGCAGCGCCGGGGCCGCCGGGGACTGCGGAGGCTCCGCCATGGCCCGGCCACAGCCCGCGGGGACAGCGGCTGGACGGGCTCGGCGGGAGCGACCGGCAGGGAATGGGAGGGGACGGGGAGGGAGGAGGGAGGAGTGACAGGGACAGGGAGGGACCGCCCGGGACCGGCGATCCCCCGCATCCCCCGGGGCCGCCGCGGGGAGAGCGGGCGGTGACCCGGGCAGGGGGGAGGTGGGAGCGGGCGAGCGCCCAGTTACACCGATCGCAGGGATTCCACTGCTGACCCCACCCTGCTCCCAGACACACCAGCAGTGGCCCTGTACTGCTCCCAGTCACACCAGTACTCCGACACTGCTCCCAGTCACATCAGTAATGTCCCTACAGTGCTCCCAGTTGCACCAGTATTACCCTCACACTGCTCCCAGTCACACCAGTGCTGCCTGTAACAGTCCCATTACCTACACAAGGGAATGTCCCAGTCACTCTAGTACCCCCACACTGGTCCCAGTGACCTCAGTACCCACCCTAGCAAGGGGACGGTCCCCATGCTGCCAGTAGGCACCCCAGAATTCCAGTGACACTCACTGCTCCCAGTAACCCCGGTATTCAAGCCAGGGGTCTCCATGATGCCCACAGTTGCTCGAGTTCCAGTGATGCCAGTACACCATCACACTGCTCCCAGTCACCCCAATATCTCAGTATGCAACAAGTGGGGAGTGGCAGACTACAGGAGTGAGGGTACAGGGGTTGTAGGCACTGGAACCAGTCGGATGAGAGTCACTGGGACACTGGAATGACTACAGATGTCATGGGGACCCCCTGCTTGAATGGGCACTGGGGTTAGTAGGAGTCTTGTGGGAGTATTGGGGTGACTGGCATCTCCTGGGTAATGATGTATTTGGTGTCTGGGGACAGTGTGGGGGGAGTACTGGGCTCACTGGGACTCTAGGGTGGCTACTGGAGTTGTGGGACACCTCTTGGGTGAATACTGGTGTCACTGGCAGTAGTGTGGGCTTACCTGGGCAACTGGGAGCTCCTTTTGAGTAGGTACTGGTGTGACTGGGACCAGTATGAACAGTACTGGGGGCACTGAGACCCTCTAGAGAGGAGTACTAGGGTCACTGGCACTGTGGTGACTACAGGCATCGTGCAGATCTCCAGCTGTCAATACTGGAGACACTGGGAGCAGACTGGAGGTCGTGGGTGATTTCCCCTTGTGTATTTAATGGAGTCACTGGGACCAGTATGGGCTGTACTGGGGTGACAGGAAGCAGTGTTGGGGGAGTACTGGAGTCACTGGGACTGTGGGAAAAATCCTGGTGTCATGGGTACCTCCTGCTGGGTGGCTACTGGGGCTGCTGGGAGCGGTGGGGGAGGGTAGCAGAATCAGTGAATCAGCCCTGAAGTGGGCACTGAGGTTACTGGGAGCGATGGGAAGACGGGAGTCACCGGAATGGGGCGGCGGCAGAGGGGCGCCGCCATGACGTTGCCCCTTTAAGGCGCTGACCACAGCGGGTCACTGCACATGCGTCCCAACTCTTTGTCGTTGCCCCTTTAAGGCTCTGCCCTGTCCACAATTCCTCGTTCCCACGCTGGCTGCCGATTGGTCGAGCCGCTAGCCGCGCGCGCGTGCCGCGTCTACCAGCCGCGCCCCCCTTTCCGCCGCTTCCATCTGACGTCATCAGATCCAGCCAATCCGCGTGTGACTGCGCTCAACGAGTCGGCCCTGAGCGGCCAATCGGGGCCGTGCGGCGGGAGGCTCGTTTGCATAATAATAGAGGGGCGTGGTCAGGTGAGCTGCGGCGGCGGCGGGTCCGGACGGGGAATCCTGTGGGGGGGGATCCTGTGGGGGG